TGTACCCTATGGGATATGTTTCCCTAGTATTTGCAACTGTATTGATTGGCTGTAATTAAAGGAGGGAATGGAAGAGGTTAAGAGTGGGAGTGGGATAAAGAGAAAATAAAAATGCTACATTGTTGTTGTTATTATTATGTCCCTTTGAGTCACCTAGAGCTCTTAGTGACCCTGTGTACAACAGTTCTGAAACCTGACCTATCCTGAACCAGTCTCACTGCCTCAGACACAACTACCCCCACTGCCCCAGTTACAGTGTCAGTGTCAATCCATCTCATCTGGGATCTTCCTCACCTGCGCTGTCCCTCCACCCTTCTGAGCATGATGTCCTTCTCCAAGGACTGGTCCCTCCAGGCCATGCGCCCAAAGTATATGAGACAGAGCTTCAATACCTTTCTTCATATGCTTATAGTATTAGAATATTAATCAGGTTTTGCAAACAAACCTCATTTGGAGGGGGTAAAAACCTCCCAAAAATTTAAAATGCACCCCAAAATACATTATTATGGTAACACATGTTATGTGTGTATATTATAATACTTAAAGCAATCTTGAAGAAAACTATACAAAGCAATATACTTACAGTTTAAATAAATTAATACAAAATCATTTGTAAGTTCACATTAAGGGATAAGAAAGCAAGTAAAGGGAAACAGGAAAGTGATAAAGGAAACAAACAGAAAACAAGAAAATGGAAGATTTTAATGTGAATAATTCCTTGAATGTAAATTTTCCAAATAACAATTTAAAGATAGTTTGACAAAGTGGATAATAAGATAATGATGTACTGCCTGCAAAAAAATTCACTTCAAACACATGGAATAAGTCAAATAAAATGACAGAAAAAATGTTTAGCTAACAAATTTTTAAAGTTGTTGTTGTATACCATCGAGTTGGAGCCAACCCATAGCTGATCATTCGGTGGGTTTTCAGAGGCAGTTAATCACATGAGAGGAAGTCGCCCATCCTTCTGCCATGGAGCAGCTAGTGGATTTGAACCACATGCCTTCAGGGCTGCAGCCCAGCATCTTGCCACTAGGACACCAGAGCTCCTTTTTCTAAAGTAGATGTGTCTATATTAATATTACAAAAAGTAGAGGTTATA